TTTCTTTTTTTCTTTTGAACAAAAGATATTAGTGTAAAATTTTCAGAATTTAAAATCCACGAAAACATAACTCAAACTTACCTACCTAAGTATAATATGGTGATTAAACTTCAAATGATCAAGTTTCTTTTTTTCTTTTGAACAAAAGATATTTGTGTAAAATTTTCAGAATTTAAAATCGCGAAAACATAACTCAAGCTTAGCTACCTAAGTATAATATGGTGATTAAACTTCACAATGATCAAGTTTCTCTTTTTTTTTTGAACAAAATATATTAGTGTAAAATTTTTAGAATTTAAAATCCACGGAAACATAACTCAAGCTTAGCTACTTAAGTATAATATGGTGATTAAACTTCAAATGATCAAGTTTCTTGTTTTCTTTTGAACAAAAGATATTTGTGTAAAATTTTCAGAATTTAAAATCCGCGAAAATCATAACTCAAGCTTAGCTACCTAAGTATAATATGGTGATTAAACTTCACAATGATCAAGTTTCTTTTTTTCTTTTGAACAAAAGATATTAGTGTAAAATTTTCAGAATTTAAAATCCGCGAAAACATAACTCAAGCTTAGCTACCTAAGTATAATATGGTGATTAAACTTCAAATGATCAAGTTTCTTTTTTTCTATTGAACAAAAGATATTTGTGTAAACTTTTCAGAATTTAAAATCCGCGAAAACATAACTCAAGCTTAGCTACTTAAGTATAATATGGTGATTAAACTTCACAATGACCAAGTTTCTCTTTTTCTTTTGAACAAAAGATATTAGTGTAAAATTTTTAGAATTTAAAATCCACGAAAACATAACTCAAGCTTAGCTACTTAAGTATAATATGGTGATTAAACTTCAAATGATCAAGTTTCTTTTTTTCTTTTGAACAAAAGATATTTATGTAAAATTTTCAAAATTTAAAATCCGCGAAAATCATAACTCAAGCTTAGGTACCTAAGTATAATATGGTGATTAAACTTCGCAATAATGTGGTTCAAACTCGTTTTTGATGAGAATCGAACCTAAGATCTCTCACTTATAGGTGAAGAAGAATACTACTAGACCATAATACTTAGTGGCAATTAAGTTTCTTTTTCTTTTTACAAAATTTTCAAAAAGCGATTTCAAATTAAACTCTCAATCTCCGGATACAAAAAGGAAAACACTGCCGCTAAAAATGCAAGTACTTTTGTTTTTTTTAATAAACGATATTATCTAATTATGATAGTCTCACAATTGATTATCAATAATGTAATTTATATTCTCATTCGACGAGAATTAAAAACATGTCTAAATATCTCATACCATTTTTATGTTGTCCATCAACAATGGTGTGAGAGATATTAAAATCCATTGGTAACAAACCAACTGATGAAGGTTTTGTTTTCCTTTTCAGTCCTTTAAACTGGCCCAAGTCATGGACCCAACTGTCATCAGAAATTGTCAAATCGGTGCCCAAAGAAATGTAAAATCACTATATTGACCTCCATTTTCTCACTAATTTTCTCACCAACCAAACACTACCCACAACCCAAGAGGCTCTACAAGCCACTCAATTACACACCCACAAATATCAATTTCTCAATTTAAACCCAAATACCTCCCTTTCAAATACCCAATACACTCAAATCCTGCCCCATGCCACTACTACTACTGCCCAGAACACTCCTCTTCCTGTACCCAAAACTCAAAATTACCAAAAGACCCATGGCCACAATGGGTACCACCACCGCCCAACCACCCAGGGTGCGCCTCCGAGGCGTTGTCTTCGACATGGACGGAACCCTAACGGTCCCCGTCATCGATTTCGCCGCAATGTACAGAGCCGTGCTCGGCGAAGACGAGTACGTCAGAATCAAGGCTGAGAACCCTTCCGGGATCGATATATTGCACCACATTGAGAATTGGAGCCCCGAGAAGCAGCGGAAGGCGTATGATATTATCGCCGATTTTGAGCGCCAGGGGAGCGATCGCCTTCAGATCATGCCTGGTGAGAAAATTTTCCAACTTTGGTTTTGGATTTTCTGTTTGGTTCCCGTGAAAATGTTGGATTAGGACAATTGTAATGTGGCAGTAGCACACACTATCTTCAATTGCTTTACTTTATTTTGCTAATTGCATAGCTGCCATTTAATTTCTTTTCCCAAAGTACGTAAAATTTTACTGTTTACAAGTGAGATATACAAAACTAATGATGATTAGGATTTTAATCTATGATTTTCGTTAAATACTACTGGGATTATGTTGTGTTCTTAATTCGTTATCTCGTGCAAGTTTTCGGGTGATATATGATTAATGAGTAATGATTGTGTTATATTATCTGCTTGTAGATGGATGTAACATAACAAGAAATGTGAAAACTTGTTGTTACTTTTGGAACAATGTAACACATTTTCTTTGAATATTGAAAGTTGTTTAATTGAAAACTAAAAGCGATATTCGTAAAGCAAGAGGATGCTATTTGCTTCCCACCCTTTGCTTTTTCTCCGCAGTGAGATTTGGGGTGATATTAATGTGAGAATTTAATTTATACTTTACTATTCACATGAACTTAATCAGATTTCAGAGTGCTTTGTTCTTTTTCCCGTCATCACTTGACAGATCCGATAACTGATGTTCATTAAAATCTGGATTAATTGCGGTGCAGGTGCAGCAGAACTTTGTGGTTTTCTAGATTCTAAGAATATAAGGTCATGCTCAACTTAAGTCTTTATCTTCTTTGATAGTCGTTCATTTTTTGTTGTATGTATAACTAATGGCGGCATGCTTATATGCATGTCTCCTTTAGGGCGTTTCAAGTGTGGTTTATCTTTTATGCGTATATGCATGTTACTGAAGTTCATAATCTTATTTTGCTTGCAAGATTTTCATTTTTTCTTACCTACTTCGTGTCATAAGTTTTTCTACCAATGAAGATGGGAATGATGGCAATATTATTTTTGTTTTTATTTGGATTATTTACAGGAGGGGATTAATCACACGTAATGTCAAGGCTGCTGTAGATTTGTTTCATGATCGGTTCAGTGTAAGTATATTGAAGTACACAAGTTGGTATAAAAAAAGTTTCTTATAGCAAAAGCTATTCTTCTATTTCTGTTCCGTATTACTGTTTCTCTTGTCTTAAGAACAAATTACGGTTTCTTGGATGAGCCTTACTCTGATCTGGCTACTAGCTGAAGTTAGTCAACTCCTATGCGCTCATGAAAAGCTTATTTGGACTTCAAATCAGCACCATTCCTCACCTCTCCACGTTTGATTCTCTCTAAAACTCCTAAAATGCCATATTGTTTTACTTCAAATGGATCCTGACATACAATTAACTGCACACTAACACTACACAACAACAACAACAACAACAACAACAACAAAGCCTTTTCCCACTAAGTGGGGTCGGCTATATGAATCCTAGAACGCCATTGCGCTCGGTTCTGTGTCATGTCCTCCGTTAGATCCAAGTAGGGTAAAATGCAACCAGTTTAACTCCAAAACATCACAAAGAGAGTAGAAAGGGATGGTCTAAATGTATGAAATATATGAGTTATCACTTGAGGAGAACCCCTAACTTTATGTAATGTACGTTTGGGGCTCATCTCATTTCTTATCGTTCTTTCTTCTTTGTAGTGGACTCTGAGATCTTATTTTCTGTGTCATTACTGCAGTTGTCATTTTCTCCAGCGTTGAGCAGGGAATTTCGACCTTACAAACCGGATCCATCTCCACTACTGCATATATGTTCAGCTTGGGAAGTTAAACCAAGTGAAGTAATGATGGTTGGAGACTCCCTCAAAGATGATGTGAGCGTTTGGGTTTTTGTTAGTTCTTTTCAAAGTATTTTGTTCTGTGACTAATTCCTTGTATTTGATAGGATGACCAAGCAACATATGGACCTTAGGTAGACTTATTGATGTTCCCAAAGAAGAATGATGATTAGATAATTAAGGAAGCTGGATTTCTGCATTGTGTTACAGTTCCGAGTTTATGTCAAATCTTGCTTCCCTTAGATGTTGGAGATGCTTACAAACAATTGCCTGACGTTGCAGGTGGCTTGTGGGAAGCAGGCAGGAGCTGTTGCGTGCTTGCTCGATGAAAATGGAAGGTATGACTCTCCAGAATATGCCAATGTCGAATTCAAACCAGATTTCAAGGTGACTTCCCTAAGGGAAGTTCACACGCTATTGGAAGCACATTTTGACCTGTCACCCTGATCCTCAAACCGATTGTGGACAATCTTCACATTTCACTGTATTTGTCGCTGTGCATTATCTAGGAAAGAAGTATAGGTTGCAGTGCTTGTATAATAATTTGTTCGTTGCTCCTGGAGAGGAATACACGCAAAGAAACTGCAACCGGAAAGATGAAGAGGAACAAATTTGTAGAAAACCTTTGTTTGGCGGGACAGAAGACTCATTAGTCAACTTGTATCAGACTTAAATATTATAATTGTACTCTACTTACTGGCCTGGTAAAAGCTCATTACCAGCATCAGACTTAGAAAATACTTTGGGTGTGATTGATCAAATGCCCACAGTATGTAGTGGTTAGTGCAATGGATTTTAAAGCCAATTTGTCTGAAAATATTGTCCGGTCGAGGTTCCACAAGCAGTACTTCCTGACACTGTATTTGAAGTAGTTGTCCGAAATCTTTATGATCTGTAGCTGAAACAAGTTCTTGCTAATGGTCAAAAAGCAAATTTATTTGAAGCAGTTGTCTGAATTCCTTATGATTCGTTGAAGTTTAAAACAAATGGGGAGTGTAAAGGAAAAAAAGGTGTGTACAAATTAAAAAAGAAAAGAAAAGAAAAGAATAGATCGCCCACCGTGGGGCTCGAACCCACGACCACAAGGTTAAGAGCCTTGCGCTCTACCAACTGAGCTAGACGGGCTTGTTGTTTAAACCCTTCCAGCTAGCAAATTATTCGGTAAAACGGGGATTAAACCCTTGGTTTAATCTGGCGCCAAAACTTAACGGATTAACTGTTGACTGATTGACTCTCAAATCTCGATGAGTGTTGCGGTTGTTAATCCGTTGCAAATTCCTTCTCCCTGTTTACAAAAACCAACCACACTCCCTCCATTTTCCCAATCAAAACTCCCCAAAATTCCAAACAGCTTCCAAGAAATCAAATAATCCCACAAATCCCAAAACCCAATTCCTCCGCCGGCCACCATGAACCACCACCACCACCACCAGATTCCATCCAACCACCCAGAACAAGACTCTTCTCTCCCTGCATCTTCTTCTGGCTACCGCAGGATCTCCCTCCCTCTTCTCCGCCGCTGCATCTCCGACCCCTACAACCCTCCGTCTGCGACCACCCCCAACTACGCATTTGAGCATTCTCTCTCTGCTGCTCGCTGTGGCGGTTCTTTGTGCAACATGACTCCGTCCTACTCTCCTGACCGACTCCACTTCCCCAAGACTCCGTTCCATTCCCCGGCAGCGGTCCTGCCTCCTCTTCCTCCACCGCAGACTCTCCAGCGCTCTGTCTCGGATCTCAACCCCTCTCCGGCCAAGACCTCCTCCCGCTCCTCCACCTCCTCCCAAGATTTCCACTTCTCCACCGACATTGACACCCCCAATTCTAAGGTAATGACAAATTCTTTAATTAATTTATTCTTTAATCTTTATAAAAACTCATTTCTTTCTCTCGTTTTGGATTGCTGATGAAATGATTTTTTGATTTTATGCTTTAATCTGCGAAAAGCTGAATTCTTTATCTGTTTCTGGATTGTTGATGAAATAGGGTTTTGCGGAAATTGTTGATTTTTTCTTTAATCTTCGAAAGTTTGATTCTTTTCTTCTGTTTCGATTGTTTTTGAAATTGGTTTTTGGGGAAAATGATTGCAGAGGCTGCAGAGGATGAAGGGCCGATTGAGAGAGATGAGCCTGTGGTGCCAGCAACTGATGCGGGAAGAAGACTTAATGGAAGAAGATGAAGATCACGAGGAGCAAGCGGCCGAAGAAAAAAAAGAAGAAGAAGAAGAAGCGGAAGAAGAACAAGTGCAAACTGTTGATGCTACTGATCAAGATTTTCATGACAATGCTACTGCTACTGCTGAGGTATTGGGACTGAAACTGATATGATTTTTTAACTAATCAATCATAGATAGTAAGATTTGGTATTTTGATTTTCTTCGAACAAACAAGATCAGAAAGAAGATATGGCCATTCTATTGTCTTGGGTCTGAATAATCTAACACTAAAAGCTAAACAATTTGATTTCTTTTCCATGTTTCATGTATTTTTTAATTAACCAGTCAAAACAAGTATGATTTGGTATTTTTGTGATTAAAATGTCAATTAATTTTGATGCATAAAGAATTTACAGGATGACGGGGGGAAAGAATTTGCGGAATCTGTGAGTGTGGAGAAGAAGGATGACTGCTTGGTAATTCACTTCAGGTGTCACTGTGACAAAGCGTATCAGTTCCTTCTCAGTGGAGGTGACTGCTACTACAAGCTCATGTAGATATCCATCCCAGTTATCCAACCCACTGGATAAACCGAGCACTCTTCATTCTCGGGTTCGGATTTTTCATAGACATAGGTTAAATTCTTTTCTTGATACTCAACTCAGTCACCCTCACCTCATTCTTAGGTTGTTTAAAATCTTCGTCTTAGATAGTACCCTTTTCATAGATTCTTTTTGGATGAAGTACTCAGTGCCCTGATTGGTGTCAGTTTAACGAATCATCTGGTTAAGCTGGATTACCAATCAATTGGGCGAACCTTTTTTTTTTACTTTTTCTTCTCCTTTTCATTGTGATGAAGTAGAAGGGGTGGAATACCGCATTAATCGCAAGGGCGAAAAGACATATGGAATGTACTTTGTTGCAATTCTTGGTTGGAAGCAAATGAAAAAAAATTCCTAGTTCTCATGTGAATGAATACATGATCCTTATTCTTCGGATGTCATGAAATTTCGCATGTCAGTAACATTTTCCTGCTGATTTCAGTCATTTTGCATCTCCCAATCCTTCAACCGCATCTGGTCATTGGATTGTTTAGAATTCTGCATGCATACTAAGATCGTCATAGGTGCTTTTTTGTTAAGCTCGTAAGCATATAACCTCCACTTTTCAATTGAATTGTATCATCGCAAGTTGAATGAAATCGCGAGGAAAACAAGTTCCTACTTGTGTTCTGTGAGTTGAAGTCGTCAAATGGAATTTTTTGTTGTGTATTTGAGCTTTTATGCTCATATTTTATCAATATGTGGTGCAAAAAAAGGTTCCAAGTAGTCATTAGCCACTTATGAAAAAAAGCAATGGAAATATGTCTTCATAGAAATTAGTCCTTTGTCATATACAATTTTGGGGGAAGGATATGTGGTGCCCTATGGTTTGAGTGTCCTGTAGAATCTGAGTGCTTGCTATTGTGATTGAAATTGCATATGCTCATGTCTCCGCTAACTCGTGAGTAATAACTGCACCGCAACCGTAGCGTTAGACGTTGCTGATTGCACAATGATGGGGAGAAAAGGGGAAAACTAATAAAGTACCCTCTTGGACAGAAAACATACAATTTTTCTCGCTGTCAAAGTCTTTTTGGATGAATTTCTTGTTTTGAGTGAATGCATCTTGAGTTGGAAAATGATCCTTCTAGTTCTTGACATGTCTACGAGTTAAAGATAGGTCTGCTAACTAAGATTGTCATAAAAACTTTCATGTTCTCTCCGAATTCAAATGAAAGCACAAGAAAAACATGTCGTCTAGGGGATGGGATTTTAGTGCAGATTTGAACAAGTATATGGTAATGCCTGCAGAATTGACGACGATAGCCGAAAGGTTTGCAGAAATAGGTCAAGCAGAGCAGGCTGATGAGTGCTCTTTTGTTTCTTGCAAATCTAGAAAGGTTTGAACAAGCAATGTACAAGATTAGACTCCTTACTTCCTAGCTGTCTTTTTTGCCAGCAAACAAAAAAAGAATCAAATATTTTTAATTTAATTTTTTTAATTCATGGGTCCCATTAATAACCAATAAAATAAAAACTAAAATTAATTTTGATTATTTTTTAATAGTTAATGTAACTTTGGGTCCAATAAAATAATAAAATACATATTTGACACATTTATTGAAAAAGAAGAGGATTTAACACGTAACACTTGACACTAGCCCTCCTCCAAATTCAAGGGATTTTATTTGATGGTTAGATTATTGGTCAATATATATTATAATTAATAGAGATGTGCCATTCACACATCATTTTTACTTCTCACACGTACATTGCTAATCTATGTCATTTGATGTTTTTAATTCAGTCGATCTAATGGTTGCAAATTAAGTAAATGTGCAAAAAATAAAAAAGAATGTGAATATCACACTACGTAAAATATTTAATGGACAAAAATTCAATACACAATACACCAAAGCATATCAGATGCACATGCCTTTTCTTGTTATGAATTTGGATTTGCTTTATTGCAAATCCCTACTAATAGAATGCCAAGAAGCCAATTTTGGTGTCTAAGGCTTCACAAAAAAAAAAACAAGTGGACTAAAAAATCCCTAAAACAAAAAGAAATTAAACTAACCGAAAATAATACATAACATATTGCAGCGGTAATTTTGTTAAACAAATAAGAAATTTTAACATTTTTTACACTTAAAAGTTAAACGGAAAAAGTAAAAACTAAATAGAAAAAACCAAGAACCGCTTCTCCCACTACAGCACGCTCTTCGTTCCTCATACAAAACTTCAACCACGTTATTCGTTCCTCCCACAAAACTTCACCACATTCTCCATGGAAAATAAAATAGGGTTTTTCAATAATCTTAAGTATTTAACTTCCTCAACCCTAATTTATTTGTGGGATATCTGAGAAAAACCTATTGAGACTTGAGAAGGGCCGAAACAACTCGACGTACTCCACTCACTGCTCATCTCTCCATCTCGCATGGCAACTGCAGCTGCTGCTTCTCATCAACCACGATCATCTCAGGTATTCAAGTTATTTTTCCGTGCGTTTTTTTTTTGTTTGCAGTTTTAGTTCCTTTCGTTACTTCTCCTTATCAAAGAACTAAAATAGTTTCTCTCTATTGCACTTCTTTTCATTATGTTTTTATTCTTAGTTTCTTAAATTGATCTTCTCATAGCAGGATAACGAATTTGCAAACTTTGACTTTATATTAAGGTTTTCTCCATATATCGTCAATTTTAATTTGAACCTTTTCTATACAAGTTATATTAGCCTCTCTTTCCCAAACTGTTCAGTTATCAATTTGGATTTCCTTTGAAGTTTTTGTTTTTTTTTGTGTGTGTGTGTGTGTAATAACTCCGCCTGTGTAAGTTTATCTTACATTGCCGGTCCCAAGCTCGGGTAAAGGAGGAGGGGGAGGGCGTCAGGTAGTCGACAACCGGCACTCTTCAGTTACGTCGAATCCTTATGAAAATGAATCCATAACGAAATCGTGCTAAAGCTAGGGCGTCACCCATAAGTGGCGCCCTGTGTGGCCCGAGCACAGTGATAAGTGAGCAAGGGTCGTTGTATCTCCATCGGCACCCGGATGCAGTGTTAAATGAGCAAGGGGGCCATAGAAACTTCTTTTCGAACGACTCCACTCAAAGTTGTTTGGGAGCATATGCTCCTATCAACTTTACACAGGACACACAAAAGAAGTACTTTGATCCTATTGGATGGGGGAGGGGGAAGAAGCTAGGACAGAAGGGTAGAGTTCAAGAGAGTAGAATGCGTTTAGGAACGTGGAATATAGGAACCTTAACGGGAAAATCTATGGAAGTAGTGGAAGTTATGGTGAGGAGAAGGATAAATATTATGTGCCTACAAGAAACTAAGTGGGTTGGTATTAAGGCAAAGGATCTAGAAAACTCAGGGTTTAAACTTTGGTATTCGGGCACAAATAGAACGAGAAACAGTGTTGGCATCATCGTGGACAAGACCTTGACACAAGATGTTGTAGATATCAAGAGGGTAGGAGATAGAATCATGGCAATCAAGATTGTAATAGGACAAGAACTCATCAATGTGATTAGTGCGTATGCACCTCAAGTAGGGTTGGATACGAGTTCGAAGGAGAAATTTTGGGAAGACCTTGGAGACTTGGTGCAAGGAATTGCCCAGATGGAGAAGTTATTTATAGGAGGAGATTTAAATGGACACGTGGGCAGGGAGACATGCAACTATGGAGGTTTTCATGGTGGCCATGGTTTTGGGGAGAGAAACGAGGATGGGGAAGTTATCTTGGATTTTGCAATGGCATATGATCTCTTCTTAGCCAACACCTTCTTTAAGAAGAGAGAAGAACATGTGATCACCTACAAGAGTGGGTTGTCAAAAACACAAATAGATTTTCTTTTAATGAGGAAAGGGGATCGTATAACTTGTAAGGATTGCAAAGTTATACCAGGAGAGAGCTTGGCTAATCAACATCGCTTGTTGGTGATAGATGTACATATCAAAAGAGTGAGAAAAAAGAACAAGACTTGGAAGTGCCCAAGGACTAGATGGTGGAATCTAAAAGGAGAAAACCAAGCCATTTTCAAAGACAAAAGTAATCACCCAGTGTGGGTGGGATAGAGAGGGGGAAGCTAGCCAAAGGTGGGATTCCATGGCTAGTTGTATCCGAAAAGTAGCAAAAGAGGTATTAGGAGAGTCCAAGGGCTTTGCTCCACACCAAAAGGAATCTTGGTGGTGGAATGAGGAGGTACAAACAAAGGTGAAGGCTAAGAAGGAATGTTGTAAAGCCTTATACAAGGATAGGACCGATGAAAATGGTGAAACGTATAGAAGAGCGAAGCAAGAGGCGAAGAAAGCTGTGAGAGAAGCTAAGTTAGCGGCTTATGACGACATGTATAAGCGACTAGATACCAAAGAAGGAGAGTTAGTGATAGGAGCATATTTATGCGACTTAATTGGCTTGTTCTTGTGCGTTTAGGTTGTGTTTCTTTAGTTATTTTAGTGTTTAAAGCCATTTTCATTTGTTTGTAGGTCTTAATAACAACCTTGGCAAGAAAAGTGCATTTTGGTGCATGTTGGATCAATATTGGGCTCAAATGGATTGCATGCATGAGGATGGACGTTTTGGGCATATGTGTGTGCAAGTGTGTGTGTGTAATTGCAAGGATAAACAATGACAACTCATACACATGCAAAGAAGCCCACATGCAAAGTGAAAGACTCTAAGTACAAAGTATGCAAGAAGAAGATGCATTTTGGAGGCCTTTGGAGCATGTTTCGGGCTTGGAATGGATAGCAAATGCATGGGCCAAAGTGGATGGACGAATTTGAGAACTAAAGAGGCCAAGAATGTGAAGAATTAGTGTCCAAAAGATAAAGAATTCAGCCCAAAAATGTCACTCCAAGTTGCACACTCCTTGCCATGCAAAACACATAGAATTCCCTTTGGATTCCCATGCCATGCTTGATCACTCTTGTCCCCTACATAATTTCTGATTTCATGCTTTAATTCATTTAATTATTTCACTCAATTGCTTGATACCTCTTGTTCCCTTCACCCATTAGATTTTAGACAATCTTTTACATCCATTACATGCACCAATTGATGCTCCATCATTCACATTTGGAATCCAATGGCATGTGTCACACATGTTGTTGCACCTTTGACCCATTTGTTGACACATTTCACCTCCCTTTCCATCTCTATGCAATGTACACAATCATTCATGCTCCCTAGCTGCAACACACCACTCCATTTTACCCTTCACACTTTGCATCATCACTTCATTTTCACCTTTGGACCATTGCACACACACACACCACCAACTTGCCATGCATTTCATCCCTAGCCTAACCTGATTTTCTAAGGTTTTTGGGGCCTATAAATACATGTTTTACACCCCTTGGCCAAAGAACAATCCCCCATATATTCATCATTTTATCACAGAAATTCGTCCATACACACCCTAGGAAGCAAAACACCCCAAAAACACCATTCTAGTGCCTAGAAAACATAACAGCCACTCCACCTTCTTCCACCCTCTTTGCCTAGTTCTCCACCACCTTCCAACCATCAAACACTCTTCCACACTCACCCTAAACCCCTCCATATCATTCCCCATCCATTCTACACCATAAATCCACCCAAAAATCTGTCCACAAGCTTTCATGCCGCAACAAGGAGGAAAGGAGATCCATTGATGCACTTGCTTTCCAAGTTGGAGCATTTTAGGTGTTTTCTTTCCTTTGATTTTAATGTCTAATTTTATGTATCTTTGTATTGCAAGAATGAGGAACTAAACCCCCTT